CTTTTCCTGGCCTACCCTGGGCCTCTTAGTAATTTTTCCTCTTTGGGCCTGTCCTTCTCTGCTCCTTAAGGACCAGGGCATTGCACACAAATCTCCAGGTGAGAAAGATTCGGTTTCTGCCTACAAAATTACCACTACATTGCTGTCTCCCAAGAATTAAGCAGAGGTCACTCTACCAAATCACCAGTCTGTGTCTACTCCCATTAGGCAGAGGTCTGGCTTCTGTGGATCCCTGAAGGCCGTCTATATCAGATTCTTAGTCCCAGGGACCCATCAGCATTGTTTATTGTGTAACCAGTAGTGTAGTCAGGGGTTTACTTTATGCCCACTACTATCACTAATAAGCTATTTGAGCACAGACAAATGATCTTTCTGGACCACAGTTTCCAAATCTAAAACTGAGAAGACCGAACACTCTGAAGGTCCTTTCCATTTAAAACAAAAAACAAAAAAACAAAAAAACAAGATTCTATTTTTTTAATCTACTGCTCTAAGTTTTAAATAATGACAACAGCATCTGACAGCCTCTTTCCTAAACTTTTCCCAAGGCCAGATGTTCCTGGCACTGAAACTAAAGGGGGAAAATACTTTTTAAATAACCTGACATTTTTGTCTTTTAGAGCAAAAAGTATCTTTGGCCTTTTCATTTCTTCTTCCTTTACTGCTACTTTCTTAAGAATTCTTAAAAGAAGTCTAAAAAGTAAACCATCCTTCCCAATTCATCAGGATCTATCTTATAATACTATGTTTTACAAATTATTTTTCCTGTATGAAACTTCTCAGATACATTTATTCTGGTAATTATTCTCATCAGCACTGATCTCTCTGTTTTGCAGGGAAGGCTATTAAATCCTCCGGGGAAGAAGCATGCTGTCCATTTACCTCTGACCTGAGTTTTCAGAAGGTGATGGACATGCAGTGGCAGATGCGAAAGGTGGGGAAGAAAGAAGAAAGGCAGTGGAAAGCAGAGAGGTGAAGATATTCGTTTGTTTTCTTTCAAAGAGGTTCTGAGAGAAGCCCTCATGGCAGCTGATCCCATTTAAATGATCTACAGGACTGGGACTTTCCTACGAGTGACACTGATGTGAGCAGCACTGTTGGGACATCAGTTATCTTGACACTCTCTCTCTGTGCAGCCTTCTGCACAGCAGGCCGGAGAGGTAATGGGAGACCCTCTCCTGGGCCCATCCTTGGCCCTGAGGAGTCAGGATCTCTAAAACCTTCAAGGAAGACCAAGTCTTTCCATTGCTGGCTGGAGTCAAAGAAGACACTCTGAATCACCACCATTCATAAATCAGTGATTTAGCGGAAGAACAGCGGTTCACTAGCAAACACTACAAATAAACCCATATGTATAAAATGTAGATAACCTCCTAGTCTGACGTCGGAAGCATATTCTAAATAATGTAGGTTCGAAGATACTAACAACTTTTAGCTGAGGAAAAACAACCTTAAAAATTTCCCCCATTATTACATATTGCGTATGAACAGTTACTTATCCTACCATAACAACTCTCATTTTCAGCCATGATAGCATTATAAACCAAGACAAAGAGTTTACTCAAAATACAGTATTTAAATCTATGAACACAAGTACAAAAGAAGTCTCACTCATACCAGAAAATATCAAACTGGACACTAAGGATCCAGCTGGTTAGTCTCAAAGCAGTAACTTCTCACTAGCCCTGAGAAATGACAGTGTTAGTGGTACATGAACACCTCCTGGTAGAAGTGGCATCGAATGTCATACGATCAAAGAATAGGTGCCTCTTACATTTAGTTTGTCACACATGACAGTGTTCTACTTCAAGGACTATCTTTCACGGGTTTATTCTTTCCCAGGAAATACAATTCTATGTCCTCTCATAAACAAATGCAACTGTTCCTGTCATCACTGATGCGGCGGGGAGGGGTGGTTTTAAATAGTACCAATCTTCCAACTGATGAAGATACGGGGAAATTCAAATGACACAGTGGAAAATCAACCAGGCATACCTAGTTCACAAAGTCTACATTAGCATTCATAATGCTTTACAGAAGACAGCACCTCCAGCAAAAGAACCACCACCCAGCAATGTGTCAGGCTGCCCATCACACCATCCCTACATTTCCTTCCATAAAATCTGTAATCTAAATACCTACTAGGTATACTTGGCCATTCCACCAGAACAACCCCACTGGGGCTTGCTCATCTTCCTGGAACAACAGCACAAGTCCTGTTTGGATCCTTACTGCCAAGAAGCAAGACATGAACATTTTGCTGGGGATTGCATGCAAGAAGGAAAATGATAATGATCTTGTAATCCGAGATATTTTTGAGTGTGTGGTTGGAAGGTCAGATAGGAGGACTAGAGGATCCCCAAAAGCAAAACTCAGAAGCATCACATGATCCAGCAACAAATATCAGTTCTAGGTATAGATTTGCAAACCTATGATCATAGCCACGTTATTCACAACAGCCAAAAGGTAGAAACAGCCACATTGGTGGATTTATGGATATAGAAAATGCAGTATATATATGCAATGGAATACTTGGCCTTAAAAAGGAAGAAAACTCTGAGATGCTATACAACATGGATGAACCGTAAATATAATGTGCTAATTCAAATAAAAAGAAGTTACAAGAAGACAAATATCCTATGATTCCATTTATATGTGGTACCAAGAGGAGTCAAACTCCCAAACAAAAAACAGAATGGTGTTTGCCAGAGGTTGGTGGGAAAGGGAAAATGAAGTCATTTAATAAGTACAGAGTTTCAGATTTGCAAGATGGAAAAATTCTGGAGACTGGCTGCACAACAGTGTGAATATACTTAATATTACTGAATGGTACACTCATTTTATGTTATGTATATTTTACCACAATTATAAACAAAACCAAAGCCAAATGTACTGTCCCGAGTATTTCCTTATGTGATGATGATACCAATAATGTTTTACTCAAGCCCAGGATGTGGGGTTCAATCCCCAGTATACCAAAAATAATAAAATAAAATAAAATTAGTACTCCAGGTGCTCTCCACCATCTAGCATGATCAACTACTATCTGCCCCCCTTGTCCTCTCTTTTTCAGAACACTTCCAGGTCTGAGGAGTAGAGGTGCTACAGAATGATGACCTCTAATAAATCTTTCCTTGTATCTCAAACTCAAAGGAATACAGCAGAAGCAGAGAACTAGAAAGGAGGTCCAGAAATAGCTATGGAGAGAAGAAATAGAAACAGCTTTTGGAAGGATGCAGTCACAAAAAAAGACAGAGGGTCCATCTGGAAAGTATTTAATCAAAATAAAAAGCCCCTTTCTACTATGAGCAACAGATTAGCATAATGCAAAACTCCCTGAACAGCAAAACACTATGACCAATTTAAGAAGCAAAATAAAACTGAAAGATGCACTCCTTCGAGGGATGTCCAGCCACTGCCAAGCTGTAAGCCTCTTCCTGGTGCTCAAGGGCAATGCATGCTCGAGGGGCTGAGGAACTCAGGGGCCACACTACTGCAGTTTCCCTGTGGGTGTCTCCTCCAGGCATTTGTACAAAGGGCCCAATCTGTCCCCATCCCACGCTCGATCAAACCATGCGCTGACAGCTGGTGAAGAAAGAGTTTCTGAAACCATGAGGGCTGAGATCCCTCACTTAGAATCCACCCTTACTGCCAGCTTCCTCTCCATTTCTTGCACAAGACGACAATAAAAAAATGAAAACTATGTGGCAAACTGAAGCCATAACTAAGATTGATTTTTCTTTCTCATCACTCTCCTGGTTACTTTATATTACTGAGACATAAACAAAACATGAGTCCACTAACCCTTCACCCTTTTGTTGTTTTTCAATACAGACAAATTTCAGGCCTGGACTGTAGAGATGAAACAGGAAGCTCTGGATCCTAATCTACTCTCCTCTTTACCTCCCTGCCTCCACTAAGACATTAATTACCATGGCCTTCAGGGAAGCAATCTAGGCTGTTTTCTAAAATGTCCAGGAAGAGCCCAGCAACCTCTCTGGTGCTAGCAACAGTTCAAGAATGAAGAAACTTCCTTCTCCTAAATCATATTTGAGACATATTCCTTTTTCATTAAAGCAGCAAGTCACTGTGTCCAAACCTTCTTCTGACTTGTTTTTTTTTTTTTAATGATACTGTCCCTCAATGGCCATAGGCTGAATAGTCTTCACTTTAGATGTTTCTAAGCTCTTCTTTTCCCACCCATGAGCCGCCTTGCTGGCTTTTGGGTAAACTCTTCAAATCTTCCTCTCTACCAGAAAGAAGGCCAAGGACAGAAAGCTCTAATAACAGCTAAGCCAGGCTTCTCCCAGCCCTGCTCAGCTTCAGCTCTGCTGAATTGGCCTCTTAAACAGGAGCAGGCCAAGGACTTCCTCTTCTCATGCTCAGAACGCCCCTGCCCCTTCTTATCTACTCTCATTTCTGTGCGAGTAAGAGAAAGGAGGAGAAAAAGGGAAGAAAACAGAAAAAGACAGAGAATTTATAGGAATCAAAAATTATTTAACATGAAGTAGAAGCCAAAAGATGTGTTTTAAGAGATGAAAAGTGCATAAAAACAAAGAACTTTTTTTGTGGCACGTTTTCACACACAGCACTTCTGTGTTTTGTTATGCCCTTTGAACACCCCACATATGTCTGCAAACACAAGCTGATCTGTCCTGCTTCACATTTACACTAATAAAAAATGAAAAGAGGCTTAGCTACATTCCACAAAATAAAGTTATTTAATGAGCAGCTGAAGTTGTTTTTCTTTTTTTTAAGACACAGAAGTTCCAAATGGGGAAGCACAAGATTCTGTGAATTTCGTTTTCACCATAATAGCTCAATGTTTGTTCCTCTCACAATGTGCGGTTGGTTACCAGCTATGCACTGGTTCTTACATTTAAAGCCAGAGCAATTTATTCCCATTAGAGAAATAGTTAAAAGACAGTACAAGGAGTGAAAATCAATTAGATACCTTAGAGCAGCTATGAAACGGTTTTTCAAGAAAAAAAAGCACTAACCTGTGTTGTTCCAATCTGCTGAGACCGGCCAAGTGCTGCGTCTCCTGCCGTCTTCTGGCTGGCTTCCTGAAACACTGCATGTGACATCGTACTTCCTCACCGCACCTTCTCCCACTTGCCTCTCTAATCGCTCTGAGCATGTGATAAGATCAGCCGGCTGCTTTTTCACATGGGGTAACCCTGTGTTTACAGAAATGGCTGCCTCCCCACAAAGGTACCCCAGCTTTTTCAGCTGTTCCTAGGTCACAGGTATAGAGATGAGCCCATGGGGAGTACTCTCCGGACCTCTGGCACTTCTGACTCCATTTGGAGGGACAGGAGAAAGGGAGTCTTGAGCCCCAAAGTCTCCCTCCTGGGGTTGAGCAGGCCACTACAGAGGGGCTCCGGGCATGGGCACTCTGCAGTGCCCGCTCAGCCCCAGTTAGCCTGTGCTGGGAATTGCTAGGAAAGGTGCTCAACGGTGCTGTTCCCAGGAGGTCCCCACACTCCTCTCTGGAAGGCACTACCACCAACGGAGCACACCCAAGTCTCGGCTCACGTTGCTGATTTCTGCAGCGACCACGGCCACTCACCCTGAATTTCCTGGGTCAGCGTCAAGTTCACACAGAGTCTATTTAGTCATGCTGTCAGACAGTGTGCCCTAATTCTTGGTTTAGAAAACAAAACCATAGTATTATCAGTCTCGCTGGGCTAAATAACTGCTGTCAGCCTGGCAGGACAGTCAGGGACAGTACCTGCTGTGTCCCTCTCTGCCCTGGCCAGGGAAGAGATGGAAGAGAGCTGCGGGCAGGGACTATGCAAGAAGCCAAGAAGCCCAAGGGCACCATCTCTAGCTTTCTTGTTCCTGTAGTCACTGCCTTCCTCTTTCCCTCGATAATTCCCCCAGCTCTCAGGAGGGTCCAAAGTGGAATTTGTGGATACAGGAAGTGGTATGCGGGAGTAAAACCACATCTGGCACCGAAGGGAATACTCTGCAATTTGTACAACTTGACTCAGGACAGAACCCCCAAAATTGTTTCTGTTTGGCTACCCTGGCATAACATGTTTTTTTATAAGCTTTTTACAGGATTTTTTGGTTTTTAGCAAGGTAATGATGAACATGTTCCAAGTCTTCAATATATTACCCTATAATTCTCCAAAAGGGTTTTCCACGTGAGGACACTGAGTAAGGAAACAAGTTCTGAGAGTCAGAGTTACGGACAACAGTACAACTCTGAAGCCTCACCACATGATTACAGTTCTGGCCTTAAAAACACACATAACTGCTTTACCATCCTGACAGTGGATGGCTGGTTTTTGGATTGAATTGCACATTTAGATCACCAGTTAAGTCAACATGGCTGCCGACAAAGCTATAGACACTGTATTACCTTTTAAATGAGAATAACGATAAACTTTGCCATCTTGGACTCAGATTTTGGAAAGAACTTTGGAAAAACAAATTATTATATGGAGGAAAACTAATGACAACTCTACTGAATGTATTTTGAAGTGTCACATTCTGAAAGTTAAGCTTTCAATTCCATTTTTCAACTAAGTAATTAAGTTTGTTCTGCTTAAGCTGTGCCCTGTGTGGAATTATAAAGGTCTTAACAAAATGCTTTATAATGCTCCTTTAAAATCTCCAACCTGCTGGGGTAAGTTAGCTCAGTGGTTCCATCACCTGCCTTGCAAGCACAACGTCCCGAGTTCAATCCCCCCACCCCCCATACCAAAAAAAAAATCTCTAACCTGATTTTCTGTCTGTTAATTATTTTTTTCTGTTTAGGCACTTACATTTTTCAATAGATTTTATTTTTTGGAGTAATTTTAGATTTACAGAAAATTTGAGACAATAAATACAGAAAGTACCCATATATTTTATACCCAGACTCTCCTATTATTAACATTTTATATAATCTTAATATGTAACAATTAATAAACCAATTTTAAAACATTATGACAAGCCGGGCGTGATGGCACACACCTGTAATCCCAGCACATGGAGGCGGAGGCAGGAGGATGGCTGTGAGTTTGAGACAAGCCTGGGCTACATAGTGAGTTCCAGGTCAGTCTTACTACATAGTGAAACACTATCTCAAAAAACCAAAAAATAAAAAATAAAAATAAATAAAACATTACAATTAACTGAAGTCCACAGTTTATCTAGATTCCTTAGTTTTCACCTAGTGTACTTTTCCTGTCCCAGGATCCCATTCAGGATACCACATAACAGTCATCAGATCTACTTTGACTCCACTTGGCTGTGACAATTCTCAGCCTTTCCTTGTCTTTGATAACTGTGATGGTTTTGAAGAGTAGGATGCGCCATGATGGGATTTGTCTGATGGCTTTCTCATGAAAATACTAGCGGTTATCAGTTATTTGGAAGAGGCTCACACAGGTAAAATACCATTTCAATCAAATCACATACATACAACCAGTATGATTTCACACTGTCAATGTTGGCCTTGAGCACCTGGTTGAGGAAGTGTTTGTCAGGTTTCTCACTGTAAAGTTGCTTCCTGTTCCCTCCCACCTTTCCATAACAAACTGTTTGAAAGGACATGCTTGATAGTAGAGAATCCATGTAGATTATGTAGAATTCTACTGCATAGAAGATCTGTCTCTGATGCACATTTATTAATTTATTCAATTATTCATTTCTATCACTATGGCCTCGTGGATATTACTTAATATGTTGTGTTATATCTCAACACTGCTTCGCTTATTTTTTTATTCAAATTGTTCCTGCTTTGGCCACAGGATGCTCTTCCAGTTGGTTTCTGTGTTCCTTAGACATAATCTATTGGAATTATTATTATTATTATTTAGCATTTCCTTACTTTTTGGCACAACAAAATGTTCCAGGTCCATCATGGATAACACCTATCTGTCCACCATGTGTTTTGTTTTGTTATTGTTGTTATTTGCTGCTGTTGCTTTTTAATAGAAGAAAAAGAAAATAAGTCTATGGGCCTGAGAAAACTTTTATTTACCTTCCAGTAGCATTAGTTCTGTTCATGCATATTAATAAATCTTCTCTTGAAGACTGCTTCATAAAATTAATTAGTAGCCAGGCATGGTGGTGCACGCCTATAATCCCAGCACTTGGGAGGCTGAGGCAGGAGGATGGCTGTGAGTTCGAGACCAGCCTGGGCTACATAGTGAGTTCCTGGTCAGTCTCAACTACACAGTGAGACCCTGTCTCAAAAAACAAACAAACAAAAAAACAACAACAACAAAATATAGGTGTAGTATCTGCTACCAGCAAAATATCGAAGTTGACACCAACTGAGCGGCATGCTGCATTTCCTCAACTCCAGATGTATGTATGCATTGGTATCATCTTTTCTTTCACATTTTACCATGCCTAGGATCAAAGTGTACATTTAATTTTGTATTTTCCCCCTTCCCTTACCCATCATTAATTTGATGGTACAACTACAATCAGTAGTGCCTTGCGAGTGGAGAAAGTATATCAATGAACTCTTGTTTAATAGACATCATCTAAATATATTCACTGATCCCCCCGCCATTGGAAAACTTTTTTTTTATTTGGTACTGGGGATTGAAATCAGGACCTTGCACTTATGAGGCAGGTGGTGGCACCACTGAGCTAAATCCCTGGTAGTGGAAAAATATTTTGATTAAACTGGTTTGATGTGTAGCATGTACAGATGCTAAAAAACCCCAAGATTTTTAACTACTCCCAGACACATTTTAACTTTACCTCAAACAATAAATTCTCACAAAGTCTTAACTACAGATTCAAAAGAGGAGACATTAAATTCTTTTCCGGGCACACTGTGGATCACTCTCCTAAGATCTCAGGGATCCATTATCATGGCTGAGTTGCCAATGGTGATGCCAGCCAAAGGAGGGAGAGGAGTTCCAGTCTGGCTGATGAGGAGTGGGTCACCAACTGGTCAGGATACGGATGGGAAGGCCTCCCTGCCTCTGCCTTCCCAATCAGGGCAGCTGAACAACTGTAGAGTGGCAGAATCAGCCCTCCTGACTCAGTGGCCAGGAACTGTATGTACATCAGCTAATAAGCCACTGCTGATTTGGGAGCATCATGCTTCACAGAGGTTTTTTGGGGTATTTTTTGGTTTGTTTTTTCTCTTAATGGATAGAGACCAATTCAACCATTCACAAATGGTCATAGAGAAAATGCTCAATCTTTTTAATGGAGGTAGGAGAAATTGGCTTCTCTGAACACTACTTTACATTTTGCTCCTGTGTAAAATTACCAGGGTCCAGATAACTCCCTAAGCATCTCACCAGAATCACAAAAGGACCAGAAAAGCTGCTGCACTGGCTCTCTTCAGCAGTCATTTATCAAATTTATTACATGCAGACACTGAGCTAACTGCTTTACCCACATACTTCCATTTAATTTTCATTACAATGCTGTGAGGTAGGCTTTGAGATCTCCACATTACAAAAAGAGAAACTAGGCTTAGAGAGATTAACGTGTCCAGGCTTCCTTGATAAATTTGAAGCCAATTTGCAAGTGCAGCTCTGTCTGACCATTCAGGAAATGCAAAGCAAAATCACCATGAGATTATCATCTCACCCCATCTAGAAGTTTATGATCGAAATAACAACAAATACTGGATGCAGAGAAAAGGGAACTCTCATACAGTGTGAGTGACTAAGTTAGTACAGTCATTATGCAAAACAGAATGGAGTCTCCTCAAAAAAACTAGACATGGAACTATAATATGATCCAGAAATCCCACTACTAGCAATATATCCAATAGCAAACACATGGGTTTAACCTACATGTCCACTGATGGACGAATGGATAAAGAAAATGTGAGATACACACACACACACACACACACACACACACACAATAATATCCTGTAACTTGCAATAGCATGAATGAAACTGAAGGGCATTATGTTAAATGAAATAAGCCAGACAGAAAGATAAATATCATGTGTTCTCACTTGGATGTGAAAGCCAAAAGAAGGTGATCTCTCAGGAGAGAACAGAAGAGTGGTTACAAGGAGAGAAAGGTAGGGAGGAGGAACAGGATGGAGAGATGACGGACAGAGGGCACAGGAGTGCAGCTGGGTATGAGGAGGATCCTCTAAAACCCCACAGCACAGTAGGATAGCTATGGTTGGCAACAGTTACTTGCATATTTAAAGAGAGCTATGAGAGAGGAAT